ATGTTTTGCTCCTGGAAAACAGTATAAGAACACATTTGTTTCTTATGCAGTTTGTGTGGGGCTTTGCTGCCAGGAAAATTATAAGAAAACGTTTCTAAAACAAATAAATACCACAAAGCGGCAGCGAAACAGATTACCCTTGGATCTTGTTTTTTGGGGTAGATGTCAAGCTTTAAAGCAGATCGCTCCATTGAAGGAGGTTTACCTCGAGGGCCCAAAAGAACTTGTTCTACACATTTATTGGCGGCTGAAAGATAAACATGGTGGGTTTTGAGTAGGGGAGGGCCCGGTATTCCTCGAACTGCTGAGTGTGTGGGTAGATTGCAACCAGAGCAACTTGGTCTTCGAGCCGTGAAAACGAGGAAAAACTGCTTTGCGCTGAGAATTTCACCCCAGGTAGCCCCCAGCCCATTATAATTTATAAAATTTTGAACTTCAATTATAAACCCTGGGTTGTGAAATTCCATAATTCCATGTGCATTTTTTCCAGTGGAAAAAAACTTTTCACAATTGAGGTCCCAAAAACAAATTTATTATTGAGGATCAGGTGCCTTCCTGGTCTACTGGTGGTTTTGGTCAGCTGTCAGTTTTGAAGAATCCTAGAGAAAGCTATATCAGCTAATGAATCATAATCATTGGCCTCAGAAGGAATTCAAAACCTGATTTATTGGGTTTCCAATATAAATATTTAGGGCCCCCCAAAAATGTAGCATTATAGAGGTACTATTTTTCAAACAGGGGGGTCTGAATAAATTTGGAAACAATTAGCATTATAGAGGTACCATTTACTAATCAGGATCCAACATTACCATCCCTGATTGAAACAATTTAAAGCAAGGGTGAAATTTGAGAACTGATAGGCGGTGGGCTGTATTGGAGTAAGTGAAAAACACAAACTAATCCAAGCCTGTGGAGGCAAGTGAGGCTCACCATCATGCTGGGAACTGCCACGCTCGCCATCACTTTCACCTTGTGGATCTGAAGGACGCTTCGCTGGTGCCCTGCGCTTGGAAGCTGCCTTCTGGTTTGCTGCAGCTTTGCTTTGGGTGGAAGACTTGGCTAGTGCCCGAACTGCCGCCTTGGCCTTTGCTTTGGCCATAGCTGATATTGCCGCCATTTGCGTTGCCTTTGTCTTTGCCCTTGGCTGCACTTTTGCTTTTGCAGCTGCAGGACGACGCATGACCCTTGGTGTATCCTCTTCGGAATCCTCTGTCCCTCACTGCGTCTCATGCGCATGTGCAGCCATCATTGGAAGCCCTGTTGCTTCCTCATTGAGATTGCCGAAACTGATCAAGGCAGCTGCCCTTCTGGCTTTGGACATGGGAACTGAAAGTCGTGCTTCTGCTCTTGACCCCAGTGTGGTTTGCAGGTCCAGTGAAGCTTCATGTGCAACATCGCCCACAACACATTCGATACCACAGAAACGGTGGGTCACCTCAAAGTTGTCTTTAGTGGAACAATTGAAGGTGAAAAGAAATGGAGAGGCGGATAGAGACAACACACACTAGTCATCATGCTTTCAGACAGTAGTCAGCGAAAAAGCTCAAAAGGAAAAGCAACTCAACATTCGCATGAGTTGCAGCCTTGGATTCCACATCGCTGGCAACAATTTGCATCGCCCTTTGGGCTGCCACTTCAAGGCTTTCAAGCTCTGCCATTGCCTCCGGTGATGCTGCTTGTGGTGGGGCTGCTCTTACTGCTGATGCAGGAGGGGCAGCTGCTGACTGTGATGCCGCTGTCTTCTCAGCTGTTGGTGATGTTGCTGGTGTTTGCTCAGGATATGCTCCTGGCTGGGCTGGTGGCATGGCAACTGCTACTGAAGCTGCTTCAGCATCGGCTGCTGCTTGTGTGGTTGGCATTGCATCAGCATCTGTTGGTGCTGGTGGTGCAGGTGTCTCCTCCTGACGTAGATCATCCTTGGTGCGGGTGCCATCTGCCAGCAATGTTGC